CAGGCAGGCAGCGGAAGGCGCTGGGGGTGGAACTGGCTGGTGGTTCAGGGCGGGAAATGCCAGCTGCCCAGTGTGTGCAAGGCTGGTTGCTGTCCTGGGCTGGGGAGAAGATGCTGCTCCTGGGAAAGGCCACACTTAGGGAGCTGGGGTGTGCAGGACCTGCGGCTAGGACCTCCCCCAGGAGTGGAGGCCTTATGAGTGTGACACTAGCGGTGACACCAGCAGGTAGTCCAGAGGCCACCTTGGAGACCTGCGTTACAGCTAAGCAGGTCAGTGGCTTCCACCACCAACATCTGCAAGATTGGGATCCTCACACTAGGAATGAGGCGGAGCCACACCCTCCTCCTCACCTTCCCTCTGCCCCACACTCTCCTATCCTACATCCTGCTCTGGCTGCAGGGAAGCCTGGGACCCCCATATGGGTGTGTAAGGTGCAGTCTTGCCTGGAATAGGGTGGAAGGTGCATGAGGCAGCCTCAGTGGATGGCGCATGCCTGTAGTGTCAGCAACCGGAAGGCTGAGGCAGGAGGATTGCCCTGAGTCAGAGGCCAGCCTGGGCTAGCTACATAGTTAGACCCTGTCTTAGAAAACCAAAAAAATGTGTCTGTGACATCTCTCAGTGAATACACAGGGAGACCCCACACCTTGGGGCTGTCACCTTCAGGTAGGCATGCTAGAGCCCAGTGCTGACTGGGTGTGAGGTTGGCCTTTCTGTCATGTTTTTAATGTATGTCTTTATTCCTTTATTTTTATTTTTATTGGTCTTTTTGAGATAGGGTCTCATTGTGCAGCTCTGGCTTTTTTTTTGTATTTTAGGGAAGGGTCTACAGGGTGTTCAGGGTCTCACTACTAGATTGAACTCGTAGTGATCTGCCTGTTTATAAGCTCCCAAGAACTGGGATTACAGGCGTGCGCCCCCACACCCAGTTTCAACTGTCATCTCAGCACAGGGAGCGAACCCCCGGCCCCTGTGCCTGCTTACAGGCGCTTTAATCCGTTGAGCTATTTGGCTGGCCCTAATTTTTTTTTTTTTTTTTTTTTTTTTCAGGCTACACTTAAGCTCCCTTTGTAGCCCAGATTATCTCCAACTCCAAATGATCCTCCTGCCTCAGCTTCCTGGGTGCTGGGAGGCTAGGCGTGTGTCACTACACCCAGTGTATTTATTTTTTAACTAGGAAAATGTTTTCATGTTTTTCTTTCACATCCTGTACAGCTCACTGGCTGCCAGCTGCTGTGGCCAATCAGGTGGAGCCGGTACGAGACAGCGGTTAGGATCACCCGTGCTGTCCTGCTGCAGGCCATGGGGGACCGAGGGGCTGCAGCAGCTCCGTTCTCCGGCACCTTTGGCCCCTTCCCCAGGGATCCTGGTCACACAGAGCTGGGGAAAGGGAAGGCAGGGCCCACACAGCAGCTCGGACTCTCCACCCCCTCCGTGGTCCTCTGAGCCCTTTCATGTCCCCTCTGTGCCTCCTTGGGTCCCTGTCTGCCTCAAGCCCCCCACCCCAGGCTTCCACACCGGGACTGGGGTCCCTGCAGCCCCCCTCCTGCCCTTGGTGGAGCCTGCTCTCTGCCAACCCGGGTCCTAGAGAGTGGAAGGGGCCTCTTCCCACCTCCTACCCCTGCTGCCCCCTTCTGGAGGTCGAGGTAGATTTTCCTTTGAGAAGTGGGAAAAAGAATCTGGGTGCTTTACTTTATGCACTGCCTTTTAGGGGTGAGCTGGGGTTCACCCACGTGGGGACAGCTTGGCTCTTTTCTATGTCTCTCTCTTCTCAGCCTCTGCCCTTTACTCTTCAGATACTTGTGCTTTTCCTTTGCGAGAGCAAAGTCTCTGGACTGTGAAGAAATGAGTTGTGTGGCGAGGGACCACACTTACCTCAAGGTCTCTCCTGGCTCTGCCTATGACCATCCAAGGCTCCCCTTTTTCTCTCTCTTTTTTTTTTTTTTTTTTTTTTTTTTGGTGGAACTGGGATTGAACTCAGGCCCTTGCACTTTCCAGGGAAGTGCTTGCTTATTCCACTGAGCCATCTCCCCGGCCCCCTTGTAGCTTTTCTTATAAGGCATTAATTCATACATTTAAATCAGTGGGCAGCCTCCTCAACCAACACAGTTATTATTTTTAGCTACTTGGTCATTACTTGAGTCTGTCATCTGCCCTCATAGGTTGATGAAAATCATTAAGTCATCTAAGACTTGGGGACTGATAGGTAGGGAGTAGGGAGGTACAGGGTCGCCCCCTGGGGCTGAGTTCCAATTGGACGGTGGCTTGCTGACACAGCTGGTGTCATGTTGCTCTGGAGAGCTCACTTGGTTATAGGTGGGGCTTTTCAGAGGTGGCAGGATCTAGGGTGTGTGATGCTGGGATTAAGGGTGTGTGATTCCTAAATTAGTCACTAATTGGTTTGGCTGATAGCTCTGGGGGTGGGGAAGGGGAAGACCCACTGTGGATGTGGTGGCACTACCCAGCAGGCCAGGAACCTGGAATAAATAAAAGGGCAAGGTGGGCTGCTGCTGCTTGCTGCTTTGCGGTCTTCAGCCCATTTGCCATGGACCATTTCTCCTCCGTGACGCCCTCTGCCACGCTGCCCTGCCTGGGAGCCAGCCCCTAGGACCTAAAACTGTGTACACTGTGAATTAAATAAACTTTTTCCTTTAACTTGGTGCCAGGTATTTTGTCTTAGCAATGCAAAAAGTAACTGAGATGCATGCCTAGGCATCTAGAAATTCAGATCACAGAACGGGAAGCCAGGTATTCTGGGGACCCGCGTGTCCTGTCACTGGCAAAACTGGCTCACTGCCTAGGATCAGTGTGACCTTTACCTGTGTAGGAAGTCACTGCTGGGCTCACACATGCACAGTGCTGGCTTGTCCAAGGACACAGGCTTGTCTTGGTGCAAATGTGGTGGTGCCTGGGAGGCTCTTTCCTGTAGGGGCTCGAAGGCACCTGGGCTTGCTTGCTTGGGTTTGTACCCTCACTCTACACTCCCAGACACAACATGCATGGAGGCTTGGATCTCCTATGCAGCGCTGTTTTCAGGTGAGGCCTTGAGCACTCTGAGTAAGCCCTTCATCAGCACTGGCTGCGAGAAAGGGCAGTGAGAATAATGTGCCTGGTGTGTCTGCAGTAGGGGGTGGGATTTAGGACCGGTGTGGGGGCCAATGCCTGTGTCCCTGCGCTGGGGAGGCTGAGGCAGGAGGATCCCTGGAGTTCAAGGCCAGTCTGGGTTGTGTAGTAAGCTCAAGACCAGCCCCACCTGTGAAACCTGGTCGCAGAAAAATAAAAAAGCTGAGAGATCTAACTGTGCCATACTGGCAGTGGAGCACAGAATAAAACAAATTAGTGAAAGATGACTTAATTTGTTGATTCAAGTGTCAACTGGCATATAAAGGCTTGCCACGAAGAAGACTGTAAGGATTTTATGTGGCACAACAGAGGAAGAAGTATGGAAAATAAATGACATGAACGAATCTCCAAAATTAGTTTTATTGTGAAACGTTTTAACACAATTCCATATTCTATCAGAAGTAAAGTCAGGGCTCTGTCGGCCCCAGTGACTTCCAAGTGAACCATTCAGGGAAATCAAGATGTTCTCTAGGTCGTTTTGAGCCTTTGCTGCTGGTTTGGAAAACCCCGTGGCAGGCAATTCAAACAAGAGAATGTTAAGGCAAAAGAGCAGAGGCAGAAAGAGACCACCAGAGGGCGCGCTACATGCATGAAAGAAAAGTTGATTAAAGGTGAGAGGATGTCTCTGTTTCTGAAGAAATGAAACCTACCTTGAGAAGTCTATTCCTTTCCCTCCCCTTTAAAATATTAGTGAGCAACTAACACTTTATAGAGCCCTTCATCCACCGTTAAGGGGGTGGGTACTTTATAGAGACGGGCTGTTTCACTAGCTGGTGAGAGACTCTGGGCAGAACTTGGTGTCACTGTCCCCTGGCACCTTGCTGGGAGGAGAGGTCAGTGACCTCAGAACCAGGCCCACGAGTTCTAATTCCAGCTCTGCCACCTGTTAGGTAGGTGACACTTAGGTGACTCAGTTTCCGGGTCTGTTCCTCTGTACACTGCGGATTAAATGAGGTGGAGGTAAACTGCTGAGCCTGGAGGTGGACGTCCACACGCAGTCATTAAGCCCTGTGGTTACTGTTGCCTGCCTATTAAACTCTGTGGTCTGTACACAGCGAGTTCTCAGTTCTCAGAGCTTCTGCAGCAGGAATCATCAAGACAAACAAGAAGCTGATTTGCCCCTCTTGTTGGCTTCCCATAAAAACCCACACAAACCAGGCAGGGCCCAGCACACCTGTAGTCTCAGCATTTGGGAGACAGAAGCAAGTTCGAGGCCAGCCTGGGCAACTTAGGCTCCACTCCGTTTCAGAAATGCAGTGAAAGGGGATGGGGAGGGGTAGCTCAACGGTAAAGTGCTTAAGGAAAACAAGCACATGCACGAGGCTCTGGCTTCAATCCTCAGTATCACAAATACAAAAACCCTAAAAGTTGTGTGTGTGTGTGTGTTGGTTTGTCCTGAGATAGGTTCTTACTCTGTAGTCCTGCTGACCTTGAGCTTTCAATCCTCCTGTCTCAGCTTCAGGAGTGCTGGGATTACACACATACATCTAACTTCTTTCTGTCTTTTTGTCTTTTCTGACACTGGGTCTCCTTTGGCAGTTCAGGCTGGCCTTGAGCTCACTTTGTAGCCCAGGCTCGTCTTGAGCTGGCAACGGTCCTCCTGCCTCAGCCTCCCGAAGGCTTAGATTATAGGCATGTACCATCATCCCTGGCCCTATCTTGTTCTTTTTGATGATTGAAAAAAGAAAAAAAAAAGAAGAAAAAGAAAATTAAAGAGGGAAAGGCAGTGAGCACTGTCTCAGACACAAGTACAATCAAATAAACACAGGTGGTGAAAACACTGAAAGTCCATTTGATAGATTTTTCTTTTTTTTGGTGGAACCGGGGATTGAACTCAGGCCCTTGCGCTTGCCAGGGAAGTGCTTATTCCACTGAGCCATCTCCCCGACCCCTGTATTTGACAGAGAAGGTAAAGGCATTTTTAAAAATGGAAAACGAAAGCGAGTGTTAATAAGCACAATCGATCCTCTGGTTTATAATTTGGAGGCATTTTTCATTTCACATACATTATGTTAACTCAGTACATCTCAAAGTTTGCCTATGAGTGGTTAAAATGTTCTGAAGGAAACTATAAAATACTCTTAAACACTGTCTTTTGTGGATAAACAAAAAAAAAATTAATGCGCAGCATGAATTTTGAACCACAAACACAGTGCACTTGGTTTTCGTAGAACAGACCAGATTCTATCACCTAACAGACCCCTCCTCTTCGGACGACCCCAGCATCTTGGAGACAGTAGAAGAATGCTCAGAACTCTGTCACTTCCGTTTCCCACGGTCACTTCCGTTTCTCACGGTCACTTCCATTTCCCACGGTCAGATCCTCTGGTACCCGCATGACCGCCTGCGGAGGCGGGCTATGCACACGCACAGCCCCAGGCCGCAGAGGGCGAGCACCACGGCGCCGATCACCGGGAGCATCACGGTGTAGTCGGCGGAGCATTCGTCCACTGGGAGAGAAAACAGACAGGACATGGCTGACAGGGCGGGCGGGAGAGGGCCAGCGCTTGAAGGTGGAACGCTTCTGGTCTGGATTTTTAATCACATTAACTAGCTGTGCCCTCTTGGGCAGGTAGTTAACCTTTGCAGTTTTCTCGGTTGTAAGACAAGCAGATGATAGGGAGGATTGTTGAATAAGTAAGTAATAGAGCCTCTGAAACCAGGCGTGGTGGTGCCCTTTTATAATCCCAGCACTTGGGAGGCTGAAGCAGGAGGACTGCTGTGAGTTGGAGACCAGCCTGGGCTAAGGGAGACTCTGTCTCAAAGACACCTTCCCAAGGGCTGGGGATGTAGCTCAGTGGTATAGTGCCTGCTTGGAAAGCTTGAGGTCCTGAGTTCAATTCTTGGTAGCAAAAAACAAAGGGGCAGGGAGAAAAAAAGAAAAGAATATGGTAGCGTGTGTGTAGCATGTGCAAAGGTTCTCAGCACTGAAGCATCACATGCACTCAAACAAATGTGGTGTATGCCCAGCGTGTAAAGACCCACAGTCTGGAAAAAGGCCTGGGATGGAGGTAGAAGGCAACTTTCACTTTCTACTGTTTTGTTAAACTATTAAATTTAACTTTTTTTTTTTTTTTTTGTGCAGGGGATCAAACTCAGGATCTTGCACTTTCCGGGCAGGTACTTATACCACTGAGCTATCTCTCCTGCCCAAATTTAACATTGTTTGAATATTCTTAAAATGCAGACAGAATTTACCGAGCTATTACTGAAATCCCAAGTTCGAGACCAAGCTGAATGAATCATGGCAAGCCTCTCCAGGCATTTGCGTCTTCTATGAATAAACGGTTGTGTACTCATGTGCATGCTTAAAGGATAATCATTCTAGGCTGGCCAACTAGATCAGCAGATTAAAGCACCTGCAAGCAGGTGCAGGGGCTGGGGGTTCAATCCCCAGACCTGTGGTGCTGTCCCCACCCTCGGGGCACGCTGAGATGGCAAGTGAGATGGCGTGGTGGCGCAAGCCTGTAATCCCAGCTCCTGGGAGGGTGTAAACAGGCGGATCACTAGAAGTCTGATCTAATAGTGAGACCCTGAGCATCTTGTAGCCCCTGCCTCAAAAACATACACACACACACACA